TCTTGACGTTGGCTGCTTCTCGCCATTAAAGTGTGCGTACAGCCGGGAGGTAGAGAGTCTAATCCGCCACCATATCAACCACATCACTAAGCTCGAGTTTCTGCCAGCGTTCAAGGTAGCGTTCGATCGATCCTTCACGCCAGCCAATATCTGCTCTGCCTTCCGCGGTGCAGGCCTTGTTCCTCTCCAGCCAGATGCTGTTCTATCAAGGCTTGACGTGCAGCTACGTACGCCTACTCCACCAGCTGTTCTAGCAGAGACTCTCTGGCAGGCTCGTACGCCCAGCAACACACGCGAGCTTGAAGCTCAGTCGACACTAATACGTGATCGCGTTCAGCGGCATCAAGGTTCATCACCAGCTTTAATTATTACGGCAATTGACCAGCTTAAGAAGGGGGCTAAGGTAACGATGCTCTCGGCTAAGCTAATGCGCGATCGGATAGCCAGCCTCGACAAGGCGAACGAAGCCGCAACAAAGCGTAAGCAGCGTAAGCAGCGTAAGAAGAAGCGGATACAGAAGCAAGGACTGCTAACAAAGGGAGCTAGAGAAGATCTACTCGCTCAGCGCGAGGCTGATCAGCAGATTGCTTATGAAGAGCGTTAAGGAGGAGAGCGATCAGGTGTTAGCCGCCAGGCTCTGGCGCGGTGTAGTAGGTGTAGAGAGACTGGCCATAATTCGCGTACATGTAAGAAAGATACTTTAGATAGTGTTTAATCTACTACCTTGACATATATAAGCTTTATTAAGTTGTAGTAGAGCTGTATACGAAGAGAGGTGCGTAAAGTTAGTGGGGGTGCGCCGCTCGCTTGTATCTAATGTGCATCCCGCATAACCGAGAAACCCGCCTCACCGAGATGGATTTGCTATCCAATCTTCTATTTTCTTCCCCCCTATGCTTATCAAACTGCATTTAGAGTAGCACTACTCTCAAGATACCCTTCTTCTACTCAATAGTGCGTATTACAAAAAACACAATCGTTTTCGTTATGCTAGTTATTCATAATGCCATGCCTGTGTAACAGCGCAGGCAAGACTAGTCGAATCAGTATTGGCAGTAGTGTCACTAAGAGGCATATGGGACTGCGTGGGACATCAAACGAGCCTTGATTCGAATAGACACTTATAGGCCTTGTACGAAAGGATATCGAAAAACTATAGAGCTAGCTACAGGGAGTGTCTATATATACTTATCCTAGTCGGATCCGAGTTGGGTCCGACTACAGGAACGAATAACTGCTGAAGAGGGCGGCGCGTACTTCCTCCGATCCGACCATAATATAGGTCTGATCCTTGGCGGTATTTTAACATCGTTACAGCCTGTGGCCAAGTTTAGTTGTTAGGGGGTGAGCGCAATTTTTAGGGCCTGTTCGGTTGCGCGTTCTGCGGTTGCGTTTTTGATACCTATTCGAGTATAGAGCTTTGGCAGGAGTTGCGGCAGGGGGACCCGGCTAGTGCAGCGGTTTGACTTTTCCGAATTGAGATAGAATACAGAGGGGCGGTTTAGCTGGGTTTTTAGCGTTTCAGTTCTCTGTAACTTCGTTATTTTGGATAACCTATACTATAGCAGACTTACTATCAAAATGACGTCCCAATATACTGAATCGATGTTGCAAAGCTTTGCGCAGCAGTCACTTTCTATATCCCCGCCACCAGAGTCCACTCAGATGAGCTGGTCGTCGACACAGCTGCCAGTATCGTCGTCACCGCCCGCCAGTACCGAACGGCCTCTGAGTCTCATGTGGACCCAGGAAATGGAGAGAGTATTATTAACGTCGCTATTGGAGGCGGGAGAGGAGCACGGACAGAGGGCAGACAGCAGCTGGAAAAAACCAGCGTCGGAGAAGGCCAAACGGGACGTACAGTCGGTCGCGGGCCGGCCAGTGGTGACTCAACAAGCTATCAAAAATAAAATTGACGTCTGGAAAAAAATGGAAGATCTGAGAGCATCTCACCTCACAGTCTGGATTTGGTGTAGACGAGCTTGGCTGCGTAACTGGTGATCTAGACGCACTAGAAGCGTATTTCGCAGCTTATCCAGAGGCCCGAAGGTTTAAGTGGAAACCGTTTACATTAGCAGAGGAGCTGGGCCAATTGTTTAGAGGTATACTCGCGACAGGAGGCAACGCTATGTCGGTGGAGGATCTGATTAGCCAGCCTGCTGATGATACTTCACCGTCACTAAGCTATAGTAGTGAGGTGTCATCTGTAGTGGGTAGCAAAAGATCTGCTCCAGTGTCAGCTACGAGCTCATTAAAATCTTGTCAAGTGGCAGCTGATCAGCTCGGGCACCAGCTTAGTGGACTCACTACTCAGCTATCAAATCTAGTGGCGGCGATGCAAAAAGATTACCAGCGTGACGCTATGTAGCCCATAGAGTTGGAGTATCAGTTTCTGTCAGATGGGTTAAAATACGCTATAATTGATGAATTTGAGAAGGAGTATACCGCGAAGTTTTCTGTTTAATGAGACTAGAAACGCGCCATGGTTGGGTACGGAAGTTTCTACTTAACCGCAGGGAAACAATCATTAGTACAGGCGTAGATTGGGAGAAGTTTAATGCAGCAATAGATAGTCTTGAGTAGGTGGTGGAGCAGTGGTTGGGAGGAGTTTTTTGGTGGAGCTAGGAGGTGGTGTGGGAGGTGCTAGAAAGCTCAAAATCAGATACTACACCTTTTACTGCACTGTAGCCACTAGTCTAAATATAGTAATTGCCACCTAGCGCACGGTCCAGTATCGCGATATCTTAGCTATAGTATAGCAAAACCTTCCACCAAAAACCTCCTATAATATTACTATAAAAAAGTCTAATTTTTGCTGTACGACTATCGTTTTGATGCCCGTGAGACCAGCTTCAAGATATACTGCTAACAGAACAGTAGTTTTCCCACAGTTGATCCGCAATCAGCTCTCTCTTCTGGTCTGGGCTAGCTACCTCTGCTACCACGTCGCCAGCGTCGCTATCCTCCCCGCTATCCAGCTCGCTACCCACTGGATCCAGCCGCTCTGAATCCTCACAAACTGGATAGAAGTTATTAGTAAAAGTGTGTACCGCAACGAGCCTACATACTAGATTAACTTGAGTAGTAATCGAGAACTCGTGCGGTCGATCAAAAATACGCCAGCGCCGTTTCTATACTCTAAAGGTACGCTCAACTACCATCCGCAAGCTAGAGTGACTCATGTTGAAAAGCTCTTTTTTACTCTCTGGTGTGCGCCTAATAGCTCTAACCTCTCGCAGATGATAGCGTACGCCTCTATACGGCTAGAGCGTCAGTGTCCTATTAGCATATCCAGCGTCACCCAGATAATACCGACCTTGTGGTGCTGAACATCCTCGGTGGATAGCATCCTGCAGGACTCGCCTATTATGGGCTGAGCCTTCCCAGCCCGTAAGAACGTAAGTAAAGTTCATATCAAAATCTACTGCCGCGAGTACGTTTTAAGTAATTTCTCCCTTACGATTGCGGAAGCGCGACTGCTGACTAGATGATACATGAAGCTCTAGGTGTGTCCCGTCAATTGCGCCTACGCAGTCTCTGAAGGCTGGCCAGCGTCGTGGGTCGCTGCGGATCACGGCTGGCACAACATCTGAAGCTGGCCTCACCACCTCGGGATATATCCGGATCAGCCCGTCTAGAACCTGGTAAAAGTGTCTCAGCTCTAGTAAGTAATTTGGCTGTAGCTGTAAGAGTTTTTGAACTAACCGAGATATAGTATCCAGTGATCGCCCGCAGCGATATTTGGCATTTCTCCACGATGATCTAACACCACAGATATACAAAAATACGAGTAGTTTTTCCTTAACTGACGCCCGCCTATCGCGGAGACCGTGATGCCGCAACCAACGGGCTAACGCTTTAAATACTGGCCGAGTGAGTTGGCTCTCAGCAAATAACTGCGTATCGTCACTCAAGCAGGCAAATAGCTAGAGATACCTACGGTCACAATCGTCATCATGAGCTCGTACGCCCGAAGGTGACGGACGATATATATTGCTGGTAGCAACTGCTAACGCTGCGGCAGCTGCTATACCAGCTGCAGCTATCGCGATAGCTTTTTTGGTTGTCGGTTTTTGATACATAGCACAGGCAAAAACGCAGCTAACCGCTGCCTCCCTTGCTACGGTTGGGAATCGCGTTTTGACCTTTCCAAATAGAGTATGTGATATGGGTCAGGTAAGCACTAGACATGGCTTTTTCTACTAGAGCGACACTAACAAAACGCAGCAAGGGTTGATGCTTAGAAAACTCGCGTTTTACCGAACAGAATCGCGTTTTCGGCTGCGGTTCAAAAACGCAGCCCAAATCCGGTAATAAAAACGCAAAACGTAAAACGCAACCGCGGAACCGAATAGGCCCTTAGTCTGTAAACATCACGTGCAGGAGGCCCTAACGCGATTTAGAGCGAAGTTGCTAATAGGATAGTTGTCAGAATATGGGCATATTTTTGGGCGGTGGATAGAATCCGGATTCTGTAATTAGTCAGAGTGCACGACCCACCGCGATCATACTCAGGGGATCGGCGTGGATCAGATCGAAGAAGAACAACTCAGATCAGATCAGATCAGATCAGATCAAATCAATCAATCGAATCAATAACCCATCCATTATTCACCTATCTTTGATAACCCATCACAATCTGACAATAACACTGCTAACATGTATTACAAAAGATCTAAGAGGATGGTTAACTAGCGGCGGGTATAAAGGACTGAGTTTCAGTAGTGTTCTTTTATAGACGAGGCATAGTAATATAGTAATAGTAGTAATGGGTACTTTAGGGTGCCGTACGGAAGTTTATAGGAACGGTACGGAATATAGATTCTTGTAACGATGTTACAACTTCGCCATGTATCGGACCAATCCCAGAGCCGGATCGGAGGTAGTACTCGCCGCCCTCTTCATCAACCACTCGTTGTGAGGTCGGATCCGATTCGGATCCGACTAAGATAAGTATATAAGGAGACACTCCCTGTAGCTAGCTCTGTAGACTTTTGATATCCTTTCGTACAAGGCCTATAGGTGTCTATTCGAATTAAGGCTCGTTTGATGTCCCACGCACTCCCATATGCCTCTGAGTGACACTACCGCCGATACTGATCCGAGTAGTCTTGCCTGCGCCGTTACAATTCTCAGATAGCGTTGCACGAGAACGCATGAACAGAAAATAACAAGTTTGTACCCCCGTTTTAACATCACGTAAAGGTCGTACAGGAAAAAGGAAAACAGAAGTAGATTGTAGCAGTATTAACGTTTTATTTTGTACTAACTTTAGGTCCTGTAAGTAGGTAGTTGTCGAGCTCGGTTTGTGTGTTTATCTTATTAAGATTAAGATTAAGATTTTTTGCGCAGCGTCTATAGCCTCTACTATTCCTCCGCATCCCTGCATCACTACAGCTAGCACAATGTTTTCTAAATTTGGAGCAGTAAGATAATAGGCTAGCAGCTAAGGCAAATTAACCTGCGCACTGAATGCATTTAGCAATAGACATAATCCCTTCCGCGAGTTTCTCCGCACAGCGCATACTATGCCAGGGACAATGCATGCTAGCGTTGTAGTTTAGCGCGTGCATGTAAGCTAGGATAAAACGCAGTTCACGTGGATTGTATACCGCACTATGCCTAGTTAGTCTACACTTTAGCGCTGCTTTAGAGTGTCTGTAAATAGAGTCAACTAACTATGTAGAGCTACTAGTGGATATTGCTTCGTGCTCGTTCTCGTTCTAACGCCAACTAATATACTCTAGCGCCGGCACGTGACTCATATCTACAGGTTGCAACGTACTAGCTTTTGCTGCCAGCGCACTTGCTGGTGGACTGGCTTCAGCGTTCATGTTAATCTTATATCACTTATGCGAACTTTCACCTAGTGCTTGAGCCTACATTGCTATTACTGTACCCGCTACTACTAAGTCTTGCTTTACCTCTACTTCCACCCCAGCTTTCTCAGTAGTCTCTTTCGCCTCGAAGTAGGCTAAGTTGGCGATAATCCAAATTTAACTTCAATTTGTGGAGAGCCGTAGCTCTTCACCAACACTCTGGTGGTAAAGGCATCTAGCTATTGTTCCTCCTCTTCCTCCTCCTCGATTGTTAACGCATCTAGATTGTTACGTAAGGCCTGACAATTCTCATGGTCCTGCCCAAAGGTCTTCTCATAGCCTAGCAGAGCCTGCGAGTACCATTGTCGAGCATCCTCTATGTGGCCCTGGCTTTCACGTAGAGAAGCAAAGGCCCACATGTTGTTAAGCGCTGGGATGAAAGTGAGAAGGTTATCAGGATGGATAGCTTTCGCATATCCAGTTAGCGCTCTCTGGTACATGTGCTCGGCTTGCTCCGGCCTGCCTAGGTCTGCATAAAGAAGGCCCAAGTTATTGACCGTGTCGAGTGTCGATGTGTGCTCGGGCCCCCATGCTTTTTCGTATCCAGCTAGTGCCCGCTGGTACATGTGCTCGGCTTGCTTGAGCTTGCCTAGGTCTGCATAAAGAAGGCCCAAATTGTTGACCGTGTCGAGTGTCTTTGCATGATCTGGCCCCCATGCTTTCTCATATCCAGCCAGCGCTTGCTGGTACATGTGCTCGGCTTGCTCGAGCTTGCCTAGGTCTGCATAAAGAAGGCCCAAGTTGTTGACGGTGTCAAGTGTTTTTGTGTGGTCTGGCCCCCATGCCTTCTCCTTTCCAGCCAGCGCTTGCTGGTACATGTGCTCTGCTTGTTCGAGCTGCCTAGGTCTGCATAAAGAAGGCCCAAGTTGTTGAC